TCTCTTCTTGGGACGAGTCATCCATGTAATATTGCACCCTATCGTGCAGCACGTGACTGTATTGTGCAGCTGCAGGCATTCTCCACTTATTTGGCATGAAAGATTCGCTGTAATGCACTATTATGTATTCCACAAGTCCACCTTCCCGAACCACTACGCACTCGCACCTGAAACATTCCCTGCAACCTATTCCTCTCTGTTCCGCAAGTCCGCCATTTAGATCACTATATATTTGTGTCGAACTTGTTTTGCATGCCGCGTCCTTCTGGATACGGGCCCTGCAGTGATGAAGGCCTTCATTGGAGTACAAAGCGATCCCTGGGTACTGACCTTTTTAGGGTACTGACCATTTTTAGGGTACTGTACTGAACGTTTCAGGGTACTGACTTTTTCGGGGTACGGACCTTTTCAGGGCACTGACCTTTTCAGGGCACTGACCTTTTCAGGGTACTGACCTTTTCAGGGTACTGACCTTTTCAGGGTACAGTGAACCCTCCCGATAAGGATCATTCTCCATATGGATATCCTCCGTAAACGGATAAAAAGTCGAGCGACGGACTCCGTAGCTTACAAATTTTTACCAAAAAACAATGTCTGTAGAATATTCCTCAATTGGATATCGGTTTCAATGTGAAATAAGCATATCATACAGACCCCTCCTACTTAAAACGTATTTTATGGTTACTTTTGAGAGGCCAAGGCACAAATTACCCCATAACCGTTCATTCTTGATCAATCCGTTCACAATCTGCTCAATAAATTCCAATCCCCGTCTGAGGCTTCGCAATTATCATCATTCTCGACAAAAACATCTTTCTAGCATATACTCCTGTTGGTCCTCCCCCAATAAATCTCCTCTGATCGCAAACATTGCGTGTTGTCAGCACCGTAGCCATCTGCCCCCGTCAAGCGACAATCGTCGATGAAGCGCTCTGAGCTTAACCTCGCCCAAAAGCAACAAATATGTGCAGAGTTCCAACGGCGCAAAAAGAGCAAGGAGCAGACGTCACAAAGCGCCCTTGCGAGGTGGGCCTCAGTACAGTTTTCCCTTTCTAAACCTCCTGCTCAAGCTGTCATGTCCCGCATCATCAACGGAAAGTATGGTTTTCGTCCCGATATCTCTACAAAAAAGTTCAAGCGCTCCGCGTCAGTTACCAGCCCATATCTCGAACGCGCAGTCGCAGCTTGGGTCTCTGCCCAATTAGCAAATAGGGTAAACATCACAGGTCATCTTATAACTACGCAAGCAGAGCGCATTCAATACATTTAGATACATTTTTTAAGTAAAGCACAGACATTCTGAGAGATGCACCGTGACACCGTTATGATACGTTATGATACGGTCTCCGGATGTCAATATCCTCCGCAAATGGATACGGATCACGTCCACCGAGCGTATCCATATCGAGAGGGTTCACTGTACTGACCTTTTCAGGGTACTGACCTTTTCCGGGTACTGTACGAATCGTTTTCACTGTCTCCTCAGAGGTACAGTCATCTCAGAGTAGAGATCACTTGACGTACAGAGTCTCTTTGGATCGCTATGTGCACAAGTACTGTATACCCCAAAAATTAGATTCGCCATCAAGCCGTTCCTTGTCGTCACACACTGGTACTGTAGTAAAGTTGTACAATGCCCGCAATGTGCGGATGTCAAAAAATCGGGTCGTTTACGTGTTTGCCAGGAAACATACTGAGTTTTTCCTCTCACTTGTCTTTTTTTGCAAAAGTTTATTATCTCAACGTGCAAACAGGGGTACCTTCGCGCTCCTGGGCCTCCAAACGTGACTTGTCAATTTTCCATTTTATATTATGACCTGCCATGCTCTTGCGCAAGACACAAGTTTGGAGATGACGTTAGGCAAGAACTTGCGTCATAACCCGCTTCGATCGCTGACAGGGAGCGAGAGCAACTCTTTTGATTTTACTGCGTCATTTTCATCTCAGTGCACTCTGGAATACCAGATTCCGAGAGGCATTAAAAAGCAAACCAAGGACGGTCTGTTAAGAAGAATTCGAATGTGCGAATCGTTTATGATCTAGTATTGAACTAAATTGCCTACATTTCTGAGTTGCAACGTCAGTGACGATGGAGAGAGAGCATGTACAGAGGACTTCGCTCCCAACGCTCCCATAAATGAAAACAATTGATGAACACGTTTTTACATTCCACGCACAGGAAAGGTATTGTCAGAATGCAGATACAGATGTAAACGACTTGTAAATAACATCTAATAAATTCGGCGCTATGTGCAGTTAAGCAACGAGAATGCAGAGCTTCCGAACGAAGATAACAGTTCATGGCGATGAAATCGCGTTCATGAGTGTGCGATGATGCGCATCGCTAACACACGGCTTACATTGAGCGATTGTTCCAGAATCTATTAACAGTTTTTTCGATCAGAATCCCAGAATTCAAACAGTTGCCCTGCCCCTCCCCGACTGGACCAGGGATTGCTGGTCTATCAACCGTCTAGCCCCCGTCTCATTTTGGACTGGTAATTATTAAGTACAGGGCCAGGGCAACTTCTCCTATATTGAAAATGAATCATTGCTTTTGAACGAGCCTCTTTTCTGCCCGATATATTTACTTGTTGTTGAAATTCAGCTCATTGAGGAAATAGGCCATTCAGTATCCTAAATATTCGGATCGCATGCATAATGATATCCGTTGCCTTCACGGGCAGGCTATCAAGTTTCTCTCCATTTCGCTTTTGGCACCAAGAGCAGATACATGTATAAGCTTTTCGCCGTTAAAACAAGCCTGAGCAATTTCCATTGCCCTCCGACCTGCGACCACAGTTCTGCTTGGGGACGATCACTCTCGCCCCAGAGGAGCATGTCTTTCTCCGCTGTCAGCTGGGAAGCATATGTACATACGGAATGGTTGGGGGATCGTTTTTGAGCTCCGATAAGAGGCATATTTCTTGACGCGCAAAGATGCCTACCTGGCACATGCTCCCTGCATTGCCTTGTAAATTCTGAACAACACTCATGTATTTATTTTCGTCCAATGGCAGACCCGTCTGATGCAAAGCGGTTATCACAATGGCGCGACGAATTTGTAGAACTAAAACGGGTGCTGGTCTGCGCCGTCTGTACCAGTCCCTATGAACTCTGGGAATCCTTTTCACATCTGTTGCACGGTAGCAGTACATTGCCTTTTTGGGGCATTGCTTGACGCCATCTACGCAGAATACCCAAACTATGGATCTATGGGTTGTGGTTTCATCGTCTCGTACTAGAACAAATTCAAAAGGCGAGGTTGAATCAGTGGGGGAGGAATGTCTCCTAGGCGTTGACGAGGATAAGTCCGACCGGCCCAACTTTGCGGCTTTTTCACGCCGAGGACACCCAGGTAAAGGTAAATATCACAAAGCACTTTAAAATATCTGTGAAGTACCCAGTCCCAACATACCGTACAATCATGAAGCATACAATTGGAATTCACTCGAACACCGTAAGAATTCTACCGGTATTCGTGTGGTAGTCGCGGGGGGCCTGGGACATGATTTATCTTTGGACCTAACTCCGTGCAACTGAAGGGGCCAACGTGTGTGTTGCGAGACAGAGCTAGCAGCAGAAAATGAGAAACATTCAAGCGTGCAAGCTCTGTGATACTGTATACGATTATCCTTTTCTGAATTTTCTCATAAGCAACATACTATGCGGGTCCCTCCCCAAAAGTAGGCACATAGATGCCGTGTTGTCGACATGACGTGTGATCACAATGCCACTTCATGATAATTTGTGCGAACATACTGCTACTGAATGCAGAACGGTCTTTATCCTTACCATCAAGTCTTAGAAATACTGAAGAAGCTTGCACGACAAGAATAGTTCTAAACATCTCTTCTGAGACCAGCTGTTCCTGACATTCTATATCCAATGTGATATCGCGCCAAAGTAAATGAGTCTCCGGAAGCGAACTATATTGGCACAATATACGGAGTCGTGGTTTTCAGAATGCTGACAGGGGGCCCGGTTATGCCATAGCGAAGCTTCCAGAATCGATTTCAGTAATAGCGTCGCAAAAGAAAGTGAAGATATCGAGTTGTGCCATTGTTTTCGGGCTGCTTGTACTTTTATCTTTGAACTGGGTCGCTAGCTAGTGTTGGGCTGAGAAAAGACCTCGTACTGCATGAGGTCACAAGCTCTTTTCTTTCTTGTGTTGTACTTGTTCGATGAGTAGAGGAAGGGTGCTCTCGCCACTTAGAGAGTTCTGTGTCACTACAGGACAAATCCCAGTGAGAACTGCCAGTCATTCCCGGTCATTTTTAGAAAAATTTGGCGAGCCTGAAGCCGTAGGCGCTCTCTTGCGTAAAAATCAAGCTTATGTCGCGATGAGGATTCAAAACCATTGTCAGTAACTTGACGCCTTTTGCTTTTCCCTACGAAATGCACATCTGCTTTTCATCGGAGACTGGCTAAACAAGTTGCGATCATACTCATGTCACAGTGTCGCTTTGCAATGCCTGCTGTGATTCTTGACGTTTCCTCGTGAGTGTCTTAAAACTAATTCAAGGCGAACCGCTATATTTTAGAAACGGCAAAAGAGGCAGGAGGCGCGGGTTCGGTCAAGGTGCGGCGCGGACAGGAGTGGCCTGTTTTAACACGCTTTACAATCCATGACGTTCCAAAATGACGGAGGCGTTTCAGGAGAGACGCTGTAGATATTCGTTCTAGAGATGAATGTACAGTATCAGTCGGTGTCAAGAATGGCATACTTTCTTGGCAGACGGCTTCACCCTCTAACTGCGTCTGCATTTTCATGCGCCCCAAACAACATGCGAGGCAAGCCACCATTTCGAAAATCTGTTGCCGCATGGCATCAAAAATGATCCTAGTGTTCTGTATATACAGTTTACTTACAGAAGATCTTTTTTCAAATCGCTCGGAACACGTGCTACTTCGCAAAATACTGACAGCTCCTTCAGTCGAACGCACCTGCTTCACTATGAAGTAGCCCATTCTTTTCTGCTACATATAGAATAAGAATATTGCATGCATACAAATGATTTCATTTTGATACCTCGTTTGTTTTAAAATATTACTAGTTTTGTCGCTTCGGTCACACGTATCAATTCGACAGTGGCCTGGCAGCCTGACCAGAAACAAGCTGCTGCTCTCCTGGGGTAACATTAGAGACTACCACTTCACGTTTTGCAGCGCAGCACCGCTGTGGATGTCCACAGATTTTGCATGTCTGCGGTGCTCACGCTGTATGCCGAATACAGAAGCGGTGCGGGCACATATCTACTACAGTATTGCGAATGCCGGCGATCCTGGAACTGCTCTGTTGGCGTGCAGACCACAAGATTACACTTGCGCATGTGCTGTTCGTCAATCGAATGTGCAGCGCTCCTACATCTGGCCCGTCGAGACACCAAGATTCCTCGAAAAGTTCCACACCCGGAGGAAGAGTCGGTCTCACACTTTTTTTTTTTTTTTTGTGTTTGCAGGTGGGACCCTTCGAAATGGTACGCCAGAGTGCATTCAATCCACAGCATCTTGAATCTTCACACATCTTCTCGTAGTACCTTGATTCTTCAAACGTCCGGTTTTCCTTTGTAGAGTACTCGCACATGAATCAGACATAGCGCAGTCGTGTTGCATGCTCTGTTCGTAAGAGATTCTCCTCAGTCAAGAGAATACACCAGGGATTGTTAGTACTGCTCGGGTTGCTGGAAGACGCTCACATTTGCACAGCTGCTATCTGACTCATTATCGAGGTACATGTGAGAAGAGGACCCGTACAAGGACACACATGCTTACATATGAAGTAAGCAAAACTTGAAAGTAAGTGGCTGCAGGTACCCCTCCCTCTCGGACATTCCTCGTCCATTTTTTTGTTTGATGTGAATCGAGGAGCAAGCCTTCATGACAAATAGTTAGGTCAGCGAAATGCAGAGGAAGATAGCCCGAAAAAAACTAGTATTTTGAATGTATGGGAGCGAGTGCTCTAAACGGCAGTTTCGTGGAGCAATAACTCGATAAAGTCTCCCTTTTTTCAAACGAGACATAGCAGGTGTTACAAGCCCACCTGATATGACGAAGCTTGGATGTTTGCTACACAGTGGTCCAGTTTGTCTTGTTTTTCTATCGTTAGGAGGTTTTCCGACTGAGAGTCCTGCCGTCTTCGTTGCGCCGCAGGTGCCACAAGATTCCATAGTAACAAGTGCGGATTTTTGGAAATATCATACGTAGAAGATATCGTCGCAGTGAAGGATGATAAGAAGATGGCAGCACAGGGTTATTACGCTTGTAAGAAATACCCGATCAGAGACTGGTGTTGTAGCTGCAACGGTAGAACAACTTTCGCGACAGGAGAATGATCCAGGCCTAAACTGCTTCGTGTGTAGGAATGTTCAATAAAATGAGATAAAAAACTGCTTACCGGGCATGTGCACTGTACGAAATGCACACTCGTTTCACCCAACCTATCTAAGCGCGCATCCAAATCACTCGTTTTGATCATTCGTGGATCCAGCACGCACGCACAACTTCGCACGCATCCAGCTCTTCCGTACGTCGGCTGTTTATAAAGTCCTTCGAGTTTCGACACGTGCGACGATGCTATGGGTCTTTTCGCGCACCCCGCCGAAGCATCTTGCCACGTTCACGAGCGAGATGTCGAAGAGCTAGAATCGACAAAACCACCTATCCGTGACAGAAGGATGATCGTCCCCCGCCCGGTTCTCTGTCCCGGATGGCTGCGGATGCGATGATCCGTCCGAGGAGAGATGCGCTCATTGGGCCAAGCCGGAGAGGAACAGCACGCTGGCAAGAGGCCCGACCACCAACGACGCCGCGAGGAGCCAGATGCGCAGCGTCGTTGCATTCGTTCGTGACAGAATGCAAGAGTACGGTATATCGGAATAGACGAGTGTGATCATGGCCGGGTAGAAAAAGTTGGGAAGCAGCTTGGTTAACTTGTCTCTCCCATTTCGGTTGAATACCGAGAGCATACTCCCTAGCTTATTCTGCCCATACTGGTATGGCGCGGCGACTCGCGCGATCTTTGTCAGCGCCGTAGTATCGGCATCGCGTCTCGCCTCGTACTCCTTGAGCACCGTGTCCAAGGAAGTGTCGTTCGAAAAGCCATCTAACAAATCGGTAAAGACGGCCACGTCTTCAAACGCCGAGTTCACGCCTTGCCCCAGATCCGGTGGGAAGCTGTGAGCCGCATCTCCCATAACCAAAACGCCGCCCTGCGCCGGCTCTCCCACGCGAAATGCGAGGGAATCGCGTCTAGTGATGGGGCAAAACACGGACGGACGCGTCTGGACGAAGGTGGCCATCTGCTCTTCCGAAATGCACTCGCGGATTTTGGCCTGCGGGAAGTTGTCCTCGAACAACCTGTACCCCTCCTCGACGGTCTGAGCCTTCCACAGCTCGTGATTCGGTAAGTTTGCGCTAAGCCCTAAGAAGCCGCCCAAGGTTTTGACGGCGCCAGGGACGAGCGGAAAGACGATGAGGGAAAACACTGCGTTTCTGGGGCGGTTCTTCTTGGCGCCCACCAAGACGCGATTGCCGCCCTCCGACTCTTCGATTGGAGCAGGCGGGGTGAGCAACTCGGTAAAGTTTTCCTTGACGACGACGCCTTTGATGTTCATGCCGACAGCGGGTGACCCGAGGGTCGTAAGCCCCGAGCCCTTTGAGGAAGATATATGTGAAGACTCCTTCTCCTCTCGCAGTATCTCGTTTATGACTGTGGAATTTCTGCCGTCGCATGCAAGCACGAGCTTGGTGGTGAGCGAATGTTTGCGCCCATCCGTATCCAAACGCAGCTCCATGGCCCCATCCTCCCCAAACTCGATCGCCTCAACAACTGTTCCATACATGGTAGTCACTGCGTTACACCTTCCCTGGACAAAATCGCTGAGGGCTTTGGACAAGTCCGACCTCAAAAACCTGAGCTCGGGGTTACCATCGCAAGGGAGCAGCTCTCTCTCAATATTCCTGAGCGCTTTATCGGCCGTCCAAACGGTGGCCTTGAAGGTGTCCATCGGGGCTGCCCACGGGGCGAGGTAGTCAAGGAGGCCAGGGATGGTGGCGAGGACTTTGCGGCCGCGGTAGAACACGACCTGGTGGAAGGAGCGGGTAGGGTTGAAGTCTGAGAAGTCGCTGATTTTCTCGATGAGCGTGCAGGCGACTCCCCGACGATTGAGCTGCGCGGCGGCGAAGGCGCCGCACGGGCCGCCTCCGACGATCACGACGTTGGCATTGTGCACAGAGGCAGGGGCGCGGGGAGGGGACTGGGGGGTGGCGGCTGTGGCTGTAAGGCGAGCGCGGGATTGGCGGGGGAGGGACGGTGAGGAACGAAGGGGGCGGTGGCGTAGGGCAGACGATGCTCGGGGGTTGGGGAGGAGGGGGAGGGGGGCGAGGAAGGCGAGCATGTTCAAGGCAGATGCGGAGACGTGAGTGGTTGTGCGGTTAGTGTGGCGCCATGGCCAAGTTGATGGGACGAGCTGAGGGGGTGCGGCTTGATCAATGGGAAGGAGATTGGCACTTGATGAGGAGAAAGAGACTGGAGACTGGAGACTTGTGAAACAATGTGGAATACGGGGGAAGGTAATCCGACCGGGAGGGTGAGGGAGGGGGCGGAGATTGATCTCCTCCAAGTGTCAACAACCAACTACTAATCGAACCCGTTCAGAAGTCGCCCACGTGGACACGTATCCACCGCGGACATTTACGGACCTGTATCTTATGATCACACTGTAATGCCTCCGGCCGCTCTCAGCCCCCACTGTACGCCCCGGCCCCTTTGCGTCGGCCCTTTTGCTTATCAGTGGGGGCAGCTGCTCAACTCTCTTTACTCCAGGCAGTCATCCGCTTCTCAGCCCCCGCCCCCCCGCTCCTCGCGGCGTGGTGCGCGCTGTCAGCCAACCGTCTCTGTGTGCGTACGTCACACTTCTCGTTTAGAAATATCTAGTGTCTAGACGACCGGCAATTTGCCTCATATGAGGTCAGGCTTGGCCTCATATGAGGCCGGGTTTTTTTTGCAAAAAAGTATACATTAAATCGAAATTTTATAAAATCAGTTTAGACACCATTTCTTTAACCAATATTCCCTCGGCAATAGCTTCCTGCAAAACATCGGGATAGCAGTTATGAATACACAGAAATACTAAGAATCTAATATAGTTTCAACAATCCGATGATATTTTAATCAGGCGTTTTGGTTTCGAAGATATCAACAAAAAACGTTTTGATGTTCTTTAAAAAAGCTTCTTCTTTAGGTATTCTCAAAAAGCCTGGAAAGGAAGTGCAGATCTCACCAAGCTCCACCCTTCCACAGCGCAGAAGTCAGCTGCGGTGGCGAGAGTATCTTTTTCCATTTTGTTCAGCTAGCACAAGTCGAGAAAAATTAAGTTGAAAAGTGACCTCATATGAGGCCATTTGTCACCTAGACACTAGAATTGTTCCTTTACTGTACTTGTTACCCAGATGTTTCTGCTGAATAAAATCTGTGTTATGGCATTCTACCGCGCGGGCATCTGTTACGGATGGAATGCGTGGCACGGCGCATCGAGTCCAGCCAGTGTCGACGACCTCTCTCTCGACTCCATGAATCTTCTCCATGACAATTCCGCTACACCTTGGTTACATCTATACCATCTCTACCAATTGCACAATCTGCACCCTCTTCCTACGCTTTTAAAGCCTCTCCTTCCTCCCGCCTCCCCCTCCGCCCCCCATTAACCCATACACCCCTCCCAACAACTGACGGCACCATGAACTCCCCCACCCTCTTCTTCCGCCAGCTCTTCGACCGCACCTCCTGCACTTACACCTACCTTCTCGCCCACCTCCCAACACGCTCTGCCATCCTCATCGACCCCGTCGACACCCAGCTCACGCGCGACCTCACCCTCCTCCGCGAGCACCACCTTACCTTAGTCTACGCCCTCAACACCCACGCGCACGCCGACCACATCTCCGCGACGGGCCTGCTCAAGCAAAAGCTCCCCAACGTCAAGTCTGTCATCGGCGCCGCCTCCAAAGCAAAAGCCAACGTCCTCGTCTCGCACGGGGACCATGTGCCACTGGGAGGTGCTGTCAGCCTAACAGTTATCGCAACCCCGGGGCACACTGAGGGTTGCGTGTCCTACTACCTCCCCGCGGGCGACGGCTATCCCGCGATGGTCTTCACCGGCGACTCGTTGCTCATCCGTGGCTGTGGCCGCACCGACTTTCAGGGAGGCGACTCGGACGCCCTGTTTCGTAGCGTCACTGAGAAACTGTACTCTTTGCCTCCCGATACCGTCGTGTACCCGGCACACGACTATCGCGGTATGTTATTTTCCACCATTGCCGAGGAGAGAGCGCACAATCCAAGACTCAATGCCGGGAATACGCTCGTTGACTTCAAAGAGATCATGCGCAATTTGAAATTGGCACACCCCAAAATGTTTGACACCGCCGTCCCTGCGAACCTTAATTGTGGCATTTCGCCAGATTTGTGAGCAAGCCCGCTCGTAAAGACCCCATTTCGAAAGGGTCACAGCCTTTTTGCGATGTTATCGAAGAAGGGTATGGCATTTGAACACTCGCGGATGTGCGTTTGTAATATACACCACCCAAGGACGAGGTTGCGTGGCAGGGGACGAGCTGTTCGCTTGATTTCTTGTGTTTGAGAAAGCTGCTTTGGATGGAAGAGGAGCGGTGGACGTAAAATATAGAGCAGAGAATTTAATGAACATCGATGAACGCTGACTGATATAGAGTGTTAAAGGGCGAAACAGGTTGTCTGATGCTCTGACTCTACCGGCCCACAATACGGACAAGAGGAACTTCCGTGCGGCCGATGCAGGGTTGTCGGCGGTAAACCCCTCTTGGAGACTTTTGTACCACATGTATCATACGGTACACTCGAGGGTCTCCCTTCTGACTCCTGAAGGTCTCTGACAAGTCAAGGCGATGCCGCATCGAGAGACGACGCCAGCCAAGCTTCGTGAGCCCAGACGGTGATGAACAAGAGCATTCTGTTTTTTTGTACCTGTGCTGCGCGACGGTGCAAGAGGCGTGAACACGTGTAACAGCAATGAAGCTCGAAAAAGTATTGCACATGTACAGTACATTACAGTAGACGACTGTACGTACGATACATACCGCGTGTTTCAAATGTATGAGTGCTGTACACATCTGTGGGGCTATCCAAGTGCAATAGCCCAGCCAATCCGCTCTGAGTACAATCCTTGCCCATCCTGGATCATTTTGTTCCCGACCACAACTTTATTCCATCGACTCTCTTCATCATCTGACGCTATCGTAGATGTCCAATTCCATCAGGGCATCTTCTGCGGTCAGTGATTCACAGACTTCTATGCCATGTTCCAACCAGCCCCTAACATGTCTACGACTCCGGACTGATTATCTCCCGTTATCACTCACACCCGTGCGATAACACCTCGGTTTCCGTAACTCCCTCTGCTTCTAATTTGCGATATATAATAACCCCCGAGTGTAGTAACACTACCCAAGCGGCGCCGAAGGAATGCTGCTAGTAGTTGCGATGAAGTATTCGCAAGTCAGCCACCATCATGCTGATCACATCTCCTCTTGTCATCCAGTCCTCCCTCTTCGCTGCTTTAACTGGTGGAAACAGCTCTTTCGCATTGCATATTGATAAAACATTTGCCACCTCTTTTGCTACTTCTTCCACACTGCACGTCTCGTCCTCGCAGTACCCTTCATTACTCTTCTTTCCTCGACTCAGCTCCCGCCGCATGGCATGATGCATTGCCCCGACAATTGGAACTTCCTCCTTATTCCCAGGAGCAAACGCTTTCCTGTGCTTCGCCCGAGCATTCGCCGCCAGTTGCTTAATTCCCGTATCCGTCTCAGCAATTACACCAACCGCTGCCTCCGACGAGAAAGTTGCTTGCTGATCCCGCACAATGGGAGACTGTACCAGTGACTTGTATGCTAACGCCCGCGTTTCCTCGTTGCCAATCTTGGTCATATTTGTCAATCTCAGAAACCCGTTTTTGAGGATGTTCAATGGCACTGCTTCCACCTCGTCGTAGACATGTCTCCGAATTGTGACAATCTCAGAGAGAGTACTAAAAGCATTGTCGTACTTTTCAGCGCAAACGTCAAATGATTCGATACAGGGCCATTCCTTAGCAGCAATGAGCCTCGTCGTCTCGAGCAGCGAATACTTTGTAGCGACGCGCGAGTCGGCAGCTTGTGAAATTAATTCGTTGGTGGCTGCCAAATCGAAAAGCTGACCGACAGCGGCCCCGTCAGTCTGGTCTATTTCACTGCCATTTGGACCACGCCAGATAGCAATTATTGGACGTCCTGAAGCTAGCCCAAGCTGAACAGCAGAAACGAGGTTAAAGACATTTGAAACCGTATCCACACCATCCAGGCAAACGATAACGATGTGCTTGCTAGTTCGATCGTCAAAATATGTGGCGAGGAACTCGAGGTCATCGTCAGTAAAGGATGGTAGGATGTCCCAAGGAATGTTGTAATCATCGTGCAATGCTTTTTGAAGAACATCGCGTTTGAGCTCCTCTCTTTCTTTTTCCGACTTATTGCTGAGTGGGTCCGCAGGTGTCCTTTTGATATGAGCGTAGACATCAAGATGCTTGTCAGAGTACGAATAGGAGTAATCCATGCCACGGCTCGCTTTATAAATAGAAAGCCAGGGCACAGCGATTTTGGCGATGGCCTCATTCATGCGAGTCGATATTTTGTGTGACCGCTCCTTCTCCCACAGCAAATGTCCTATAATGCTATGCTTAAGCATGTCCAAATTGATACCCTTTTGCTCAAGTTTGGCAACTCTATGAAAACGGTCGTACAAATCTAGATCCTCATACCCATACTCGGTGATGCGCTCGTCATAGCCTCCAACTTTCAAGAAATTATCCGTTCTGGCAAACCAGACGCCTTGCAACTTGCGGTCATTCTCATTGCGTTCGGTGCCAGACGCGATAGTGTAAAACTCTCTTCGCCCTGGTCGAGGGTGGTTTTCGACAAAGTGGGGATTGACATATGTGTCGCAATCGACGCGGAGAATGTGCTTGCTAGTGACAAATCTTGCAGCGAGATTGTACGCACGCGATAGGACCCAGTCACCCGCGTCGGGAATGCGGATGAAAGAGAGGCGGCCTGTGCGGATGAGTGTGTCAAGCAGGGGTATGTCATCCCACTGGTCCGAGGTGGAGCCCCAGTCGACGAGGACGATTTCATCAATCTCCTTGACGGCTTCCCAGGCTGGGAGAGCTACGGTGAGACTTTTTTTTTGGTTTTTGCACGCGGCGACCAAGGAGATGCTGGTGCGGGAATTGACTTTAAAGCTGCGGCGTTTTTGGAGGACGTTGAGGTATGATTCGAGACGAATGGCGGTCCGGAAGATAGAATTTTTCGATTCGCCGGCGCGAATTTGATCGTATCCATATTTCTCCCAGCCCGGGACGGCGGCCTCGCGAATGAGCTTTCTATGGGTGGTGCCACGGATAAAAAGAATGAAGAGAGCTAGAATGAAGGGGAAGGCAATGAGGACAAGGACGAGACGAGGACCCAGGATGGAGCGCAGAAAGTTGCGCAAGTCGAGGACGACGGTAGTGGCGTGCTTGGAGAGTGCAAACTTGCGGGGTGGGGGGGCGCTGTCGTACGTGGAGGCGGCCTCATACTTCCTGACCATGTGGGCGTACCTCATGGTGGAGGCAATGGGGTCGCAGCGTTGATGCGGAGGGGCAGCGTGAAGGTCGGGCAGGAGATTGAGGCGTGTTGAGATCCTGACACCCGGAGGTGAGGAGGGACGAGGATTTGTGGGAGTCGCGAGTGCTTGAAATGGACTTTGGGCACGCGAAACCTGCCCTCGCCCCCACTATTCCAACGCGAGAAGGGACCGTGCTGCTGTACAGTATCGACCACTCGCAGGACCAGAGAGCCAATGTAACTCTACTGTAGACTGCACCTGTACAGTACCAGATAGTGTAAAGCTATCTGTATTCCCGACAGTAGAGTATTGTACAGTGTCAGCACTACCGTACAGCATTACAGTAGCTCATGCTCGAAGCCATTCATCATACTTTCCCGGAATGCTACAGCAGTGTCTGCTCTGCATTACAGTATAACCCCTCTATATGAATCTCCTCAAAAGGAATAACCCCTGTAAACGAATACATCCATGCTCCACCGATGCTGGTTCCGTGTTTTTGGCCTGTTCAGGGGGGTGCTAGTAATACGAATTCAAGAATACACTTCTTGGATAGGGCCCTAATTTTCACTTATAATTTCAGGTTCTGGCAACCTCCGTATAATAATAGTTTAATCTCCAAATGATCATTCAACCGGATCAGATAGATCCAAAAAAGATCCATTCTAGGCCGCGCATTTCGTAACGACATTTTATTGAATGCCCTTGGTGTTATTCTGCTTGATACAGCGCAATACAGCTCTGTACTGCATTGCATTTAGTCTAGGAGGACGCTTTTTTGAGCTGTGGCGCATCGTGAAGTCGCAATTCTTGAACAACACCGATTTGACAGACAGCATCATGGCCAGAGTTCGTCTCACAATTTCCCAAAAGAAAAAGATAGTTCACGAGATCGACAAAAGAAAAGCAGACGGCAGAAACGTGCATCAGACAGCCATTGGACAGTGGGCAGCACACACTTTCAATCTTTCCCATCCTGTGCCGCAGCCGACCATTTCCAAAATAATTGCCAAGAGAGCAGCTCTTTCAACCTCTGCAACTCCGAATCAAAAGCGGCGCGGGCCACTCCTCAATGATCGCCTAGACGAAGGGCTTGCTTTGTGGGTATCTGATTGTGCAAGCAAGAGTGTTGCTCTTTCAGATCTTGCTATCAAGGAAAAAGCAAATCAGATATTAGGCGAGGTTAACAACGAGCTCGAAGACAGTGAAAAGATTGATATGAAGTTCAGCAACGGCTGGTTGTACAAATTCAAACAAAGACACGGATTTCGACGCATTAAAATGCACGGCGAAAGTGCCTCTGCCGAAACTGTTGTGGCGACGGAATTACTGCCAGCTCTCAGGGAAAAAATCCGCACATATGCGCATGAAGATATATACATCGCTGACGAGTTCGGACTTCAGTACTGTCTTGCGCCTGATAACACAATTGCCGCACAGCAGGTAAGCGGAACTAAAAAAGACAAAGCACGCATTACATGTCTTGCGTGCTGCAATGCAACTGGTACGGACAAACTTCCGTTGCGAATCATTGGGCCGGCAGAAAAACCAAGGGCATTTAGAAGAAAGAGCGGAGTAGAATTGGGATTGACTACAGGTGGAATGCAAAGGCATAGATGACAAAGATACTTTTTAATGAATGGTTAGAGCGTTTTAACACTCATGTGCGACTTCGTGGGAGGACAGTAGTTCTTTTGTTGGACAATTGCTCTGCCCATGGAAAAGATCACGAAGTTGCCGCTTTCAACCTTTCGAACACGCGCGTTATATTTCTGCCTCCGAACATGACATCTTTGATCCAAGCGTGTGATGCGGGTATTATTGCTGCCGTCAAATGTCGGTATCGCCGCTTGCAAATTGCAAGGGTTTTGGATTACATTGATATCGGTGAAAGGAACATTTACAAGGTCGATGTTTTGCAAGCAATGAGATGGATTCAGAAATGCTGGAATGAACTTCCTGCCGAAGCAATTTATAATTGCTGGCGTCACACTAAACTGGTTGATGGAGATATAGACAGTGTTGCAGTGGAGGGGGTTGAAAATGAGTTGACGTCATTGCGAGATGACATATCAGATGTGGTACGCACAGTAGATCGTCGGATGCTTGTTGAAACACTTCTTAACAATCCCTCAGAGAACAGTGCATCGGCAGAGGTCACAGATGATGAAATCATTGGGTTTGTTCTTAATGGAATGACAGATACAGGCGAGAATGAAGATATGGAAGGTCAAACCCCTCCAAGTTTGCCTTCCCGTCGGGAGCAGCTGCGCATCCTTGCTACTGCAAGGCTTATTATGGAGCAGTATGGAGGCTATGCTCACACTACAGGAGGTATTTCTCGTGTTCAGCGCGAGATAAGGCGTGATCAGCAGGATAGCGCCATTCAGACGAAAATAACGTCCTTTTGGGGCTAGCCTACACGTGTAAAATATTTGAAAAGTGTACCTCTTCGACGGATACACCCCTCACTATGAATATGACTAGATTCCACCGACCCCATTCCTATAGGGGGGTTATACTTGTGGTACAACGACCGATCCGCGGTCGGTGTACAGTAGGAGCGGCCGCGCGCAGCGGGCACGCGGCACCGTGGCCCACGTGTAATACGCATGATTACCGAACGGGCGCAGCAAGTGACGGGTGTACGCTTGGGTACACGTGTAGTGTAAGGAACCGTGTGGGGATAATGCGCGCGCAGTGTAATGCAAGCGCGTAGTGTGAGGATCCGTGCGGTAGTGTAATGACGGCGCTAGATTTTCAATCGCGTACAGTACCTGGTCCACAGTAAGTGACAGGTACTGTATTGGACAGGTGTCCCGGGCGTCCCTCTGAGGGGTTAAGACCTGGACACCGTCCTCGCAGTAAACACGGGGGGCAGACTTGCCCCCCTCCCTTTCGCGCCTACGTACTGCCGTTTCGGTATTCTCTCGCGCGTTGGCTTCTAACCCGTTACCGGTCGTCTCCGATCTAGCACCTCGGGACGACTGCGCGTAACCGGCCAGTGTGCCACTCCCTTTTCGCAAGTCCGACCGTTCGGTAACCGCGCGCCGCGCGTCTCGCGTCGCGAGCTCCCTCGGCTCATCCTCCGAGCCTCTCGCCCGCTAGGGTTTGAGGAGAGTTGTACCACATTTTGGTACTCTTGTGGAGGGGTACAACTCTCGAGGTAGAGCCGCGCGCCTTGACGCCCGCTCTGCGCAGAACCGTACGGACGGAAAAGGTTGAGAAATCACCGCGTCGATCGCGAAGCGTATTCGACGATGAACCGACCGGATCAAGGGGCAGACTCCGCCTCCGGGCGTCTGAGCACCCGCAGTGGCAGTGGCGCGCCGCGCCCCCGGGTGGAGAACCCGGAAGCCCTGCTGCGACCGCCACCGCGACCGGGCCGCACGCGAGCGTCCGCATCGGATGTTACGCCGGCCGCGTCGGCAGGCACTGAGAATCGCGTCCAATGGATGGTCGACGCGATTCAGCCGCGCATCCAGGCCTGGGTCGAGGAGTTCCTCGCTACGGAACTCCCCCAGGTAGCGCGCGTATGCCTCGACCGAACGGTGCCCGCGCTCGTGGACGCGCACGTACGCAGCGCGATACCACCGCTTTTGGACGAACTTCTACCCGCTCAAGTCCAATGCGAGGTGGTGACCGCGCTCACCACTGTGGATGAAGAATCCCCGTCCGGTACGGCTCTAAAGGGAGCGATCAGCTCCGCCGTGGCCAATCGTCTGGCCACGACCTTCGCCGGAGCAGGAGTCGACGCGCGCGAACAGCGCGACTCAACCGCTCCGGATCCTACGCTAACGCACGCTGAACCGATCGGCGCCGCACCCGGGATCGGTACAATGGCCCCTCACCCGGAGGGTAAGACCATTTACCTCCCACCAATTTATGGTGCTACAGGAGGGCCCACAGAAAATGGCCCTCCCGTACTCGCCGATACGGCTGGCCCCCGCGGGACAGAAAACCGCCTGGGGCGCTTCGCGACAGAAAAGCGACAGCCGTATCGGTCGAGCAGGAGAAGCGCACCCGGCGCTCAAGGCTACACCTCGGAGGGTACAGAAAACCCCTCCGAGGAAGAAGACACAAGATGTCGCCACAGGGCGACGCGCAAGAACCGCGACGGACGCTACGCGCGATACCGCGATGCCGGAGGGGTCGGTTACCCCTCCGATGATAACCGCGACGGACGCTATACGCGATACCGCGATGCCGGAGGAGGTGGATACCCCTCCGATGACGAGGACACCGAGTCGGACGGATCGCGCAGAAGCGACCGCAGAGGCCGTAATGCGCGCGACCGACGTCGGTTCCGGCGAGAAGACTCCGATCCGGAGGGCTACAGTAGCCCCGGCGGAGAAGGAGACCGCCATCGCAGGGGCAGAGATCGCCGGTCTGCCCCGAGGCGGGATCCGAAAGGGTTGCCGGTGATCAGGCCGCTGAACGACCTGTTCACCAAGGCCGTCGACTACCGCACGTATAGGCTGGAAAATCGCAGCGCGCGCTACGACGCGAGTACCGCGCGGCGAGTTAACCGATATCGGAAGAAGTTGGACGTCCAGCTGAAAACCCACACATTCGGTGGTCAAGATCCAATCGCGGTGCTAGGATTCCTCGCGCGCTTCAAGATGGCCTGCGACCACAATGGGGTCAGCGAAGGCGCGGCCGTATGGTGTTTCCAGTTCTATTTGACTGGGCAGGCTCACGCCTTGCTCCAGTCCAGGCTACACGGGAACACCATGGCGGTCGATGCGGAGCAGCGCGATATGCTCGAAACCTACGCGGAAGTTATTAACTTTTTATTGCGCACGTACGCGACTGACGAAGTTATTTCCGAAGCGGTCGGTGATGTCACCTCCTTCCGTCAGAGCTCTAATATGACGGAGGAGGTGTACAGTAACCAGTTGTGGGACAAGGCGTTGCGCTGCGGAACCGTATTTTCGGACAGGCGCCTGAAGTCCCTTTTTGTTGAGGGACTTCTGCCAGCGACGTGCGCGCAGGTGCGGAATTATCTCGCGACGCATCCGGGCGTGGACTACCAAGCGGTGGCACGCTACGCGCAAGCGATAGGCGAGACGCACCGCTCGGCTCGAAGACAGGCGACCTCGCTCGCGTCGCCTCAAGCACCGTCCGATTCGGTGAGAAGATTCACGCGCAACGCGCGGACAAGGCCGGTGCTGTCGGTCGAGTCCCTGTCTGAACTCCCGACAGCGCGCGGAACCGAAACGGAGGAGATATTGGCGGTGACGGACCAGTCGGCGACGCCGAGCTCGCTTAGCTCGCCGCCGACTAGCTACCATCCGTCACCTGCCTCGTCCCCGGCGGGTACCAGCATGCTAACACAC